CTGCTGCCCGCGGCCCCCTGCCAGGGCTATCACAAGCTCAAAAGCCAATCTGCCTGGCTTGCTGGGGGTTGTGGAGGGACTGGGCACCCCCTCTTTGCACGAGGTCACTGGGGTGGCTCTGATTTCACGGTGTTTCTCTTCCTAGGAAGGTCCAGGTGAACTACCGGGGGCCTTGTCGCTAGCGGGGCGAGGTGGAGAGGTGATGCCCTTCCACTCCCTGGCACGTCCCCGCAGGTGAGGACAACGTGCAACCTCATCTGCACGAATGCATCCGTGCTCCCGGGCCCAGGGGTCCGATAGACCGCACGCCCCCCACTGCTGCCCCCCACCCCGCCTTCCCTGTGCATCCCGGGGCCCGCCGGGGTGTCTTCGGAGGCCTCCTCTTGCTGTGCTTGCTCCATAAACTGCCTGCAGCAAAATCCCGCGTCTTTGTGGTCCGTGAAGAAGTCGAGTGCCCTGCTTTCCCGATCGGAGCAGCACAAGTGTCAGGGCAGAGGTGTCCGGGTGCAGGACTCCTGCAGCCGCGCTCGTGGCTGCGCTGCGTCCCGTCTGGCCCTGACGTCTTCCCAAGCTGCAAACTAGAGCAGCCCCCCATGCCGAGGCTGCAGGACCGGCTGCCTCTGTCAGCCCGCGGCATCCCCGGCCGGTCGGTGGCATGCATGTGATGGGCCTCAGAGGGAGCTCGTGCCCCGGGGTGGGGTGTGGGGTGCCCCTGCCTTGCTTTGGCAGCTCAAAGCCTGCCCCAGCAGCACGCGGGGAGGCCCTGGAGAAGGCAGCCGGCACGCTCGGCACCACAGCATGAGTCCTCTCGGCGGGGCGGTACCGGAAGACAGGATGCAAGAGGGATGGTGGAAGGACTCGGTGACTGAGCCATGTCATGGAGGGGGATTTACCCACGTGGGAACGCTGGGGCTGCTGAGAAGCCAGAAGCGCGATGGATGGCATACGTGTGTGGCCAGACGTCCCCAGGACAGGCCGGCGTGGACGCCAGGAGCTGGGGTGCGAGTCTTTGCAGCTCTCAGGGCCCGGTGTGCGACACTCCTCTCCCACTACGCCCATCTGCACTGACTCAAGCTCCTTCCGTCAGGGGCTCGATTTCTCCCGTGCCCCCGAGCATCGGTAGGGCTGGGCTGAAGGTGAAGCCTGGGGCTCTCCTCCTCCCGGCCTTCGCAAAGGGCTAAACAGAGCAAATATGTCCTGGGGCTGAGCCAAGGAGGCAACCCTGACCGATGCCTGACCTCCTCACATCATGTGTTCAGATCCGGGCCAGGGGAGCAGTCCTGCCAGGATAGCCCCGTGCCAGGCTGGTCGGTCTGTAATGGGAACACCCCGATCAGGACGTGACACGAGCCCACGGCCCGGGCCGGGATAAGAGATGCCAGATTCGGGTGCAGCGAATACGTAATTTGTTTCCACCGCTGTACAAAAGGAGGATTGGGAAGTACAGAAACTTTGCAGCAGCCTGCGTGGTGTCGTGCCGACCACCTTGTCACAGCACAGATGTGTTAACCCCGGTCTGATGTGCTTGCCAGGCCCAGATGTGTTACGGCCATGCTTGTAGACAGTAAACCTGACTGAATCTTTACCCTAAACCCGACCCGTGCTCGTTCTTTAAGACACGATTGGTGCTGGGATCTCCTGGCTGCTGCGCTTCCCAGCACGGAGACTACAAGACCTCAGTAACCCCAGCGAGTCCACGGCAGGGGCCACGCACCCGGGCTCGTGCGGGCTGGAGGTTTAGCTGCTTTCAGAAGGGCAGACCCTGCAAACCCCGTGCAGGGATCCTGCAAGCTCAAGGCGGTGGGAGGCTTTGGGAGGCTCTGGGGCTGCTCTCCGGGGAGGGGGCAGGCGGCACGGGGGTGCATAGACTCCACCTGCAGAAGAGGCGGCTCTCGCCTGGTCCTCTACCTCCAAACCGGGCCCAGCAAGGAGTCATCGGGCGTAACTCTCTCTATTCGGGAGCCCATTTCTTCCTTGTCCCCAGAGCTGCTGGGCAGAGGCCAGTCGTCACTGTGGCCACCGCGTCTAGACCATTCATACTCGACCCTGTCTTTATTCTCCCAGCCCAACACGCCTCGGCGACAGGGAGGTGCTCCTCTCCCCACACTGCAGACCGCAGCTGGAGGCACAGGGGCGAGGTCCTTGAAGGTCTTTAGGCCCCTGACTCCTACTGAAGTACAGGGGGATTCGACACCAACTGACCTTGGTGATTGTGGACCGAGGTGACATGACCAAGGTCACACGCGGTAGTCTGTGGCAGAGCAGAGACGCATTCTTTCGCATCCCAAGACCAGGCCTTCCCCAGGGCACTCTCCTGTCCCTCAGAGGGGCATTAGCTAAGGGCAAAACAGTCCCTGGCATCTCCCTGGATTTCCATGTTGTCATAGTCCTAGGAGACACGCCGATGTAGCCCGGCCATCTCCCACGACACGGTGCTCCGTAGCGCCTGCGCTACACACCGCTCGCTGGCAGCATTGCCCCGTGCATTGCGGCAACAGGAAACACTCAAAGGATTGTGCCGAGTTTTCTTTATTGAGCAAGCAGATTGGAGACAACGTCGCCCCCAGAGCGAGGCTGAGATGAGCAGGGATCTGGGCCCTGGGGATGGCGAGGGAAAGCGGACTGATGCTTGGCACGGCCGGGGACTCAGCATTTCCCCATGTGGTACAGTCGAAGCTTCCCCCCACTTTTCCTGCAAGACAGACGCAGATCCAACCGGAGGTTAGAGAGGCCTGTCCCCGCGGCACGGGCAACGCCGCTGGCCGGCTCCTCGTGCCTCTGGGGCGGGCATCGCAGGGTTAACCCGCACGAGCAGGTGGGGGCCCAGCACTCAGCTCACACCCCAGCAGCAATTAAATGCAATTAAGTATGCTTTCATGAAGATCTGAGGCAACCTGGCCTGCTGGGAAAGGCCCAGGCTTAGACTCTCCCTTCCAGATGTTGCAGAGGAGCAGCCCCAACACAGGGCTTGGGGGGAGGCCCTGGTGCTAGCCAGAGAGGACTTGCAGCAAGTTGGACTCGTCTGGCTGTGTCTGGGGTGGGGACAGGTGAGGGCTCGCTGCCCTTCGCAGGAAGGATCGACTAGTCCCTATGAGGGGAAGCCGAAGGGATCCCGGCCCTTTGCTCCAAAGGCCCGGCATTCAGCTCACCCCCCTTGCGCTCAGCTCTACGCCCTCCAGGTCACTTACTCGACGGCCTTGCAGAAGGCGCACAAGTTGCCGTAGGTCATGCCGTCGTCGCCGCAGTGGGGGTTGGACTCCCGCGTGCAGAAGGTGCCCGAGTCCTTGAACTCGCTGCAGTCAGGCTGCAACGGCAACGGTAGATGCCCTTTAGGATCCCTTTCTTCCCCTTTCTTCCCTTCCTCGGCTCTAACAAGATGTTCACCCGCTCGCTCTACCGTTTCTGCCGCAACGGCCGTGACGGCAGAGCCTCCTTCTCTCTGGCGCAATGGGCATCGCAGCCCACCTGAGCCCTATTTTGGGGTTCAGTTGCACAGGAAGAGAAGTGTTACAGATGCTCTTTTGAAACCCATCGCCGCCCCAAGGAGCGCCAGGCTGAGCAGGGCCTCCCTCCCCTTGGCCCAGCTCTTCAGCCCAGTGCCTCGCCCGCGCCCCAGCTCCATGCCTTTCCACCCGAAGGAAAAGCAAGTGGTAGCTTGCAGATGTCTCCGAAAAACAGCAAGGCAAGCTCAGTTTTGATCACCTCTTACAGCCGTCTTTCGGCTGAGGCCATGCTGCAAGCATTGCCCGGGCTCCCGAGAAGGCTCACCTCCACCAACCCACCCACCCACCGTCGCTCTCCCCACCCTGGCACGGGATCCATGCATGGATCAGCTTCATGGTGGATCACCATCCGTATGTCACGCATGGATCACCTTCATGCAGGTGCATCCCCCCAGCGCGGGAACCACCCAGCTCCACCCATTCCCTTTTAAAATGATCTTCCAAGAGCTGAAAACGTGGTTGCAAAGACCCCTTCTCTTAAAGCAGGAGGAAGAGCAAAGCATTGCATAGGATTAGCTGCCCTAACCTTGTCCTTGTCCTTGTCTTTGCAGGCAACACCTGGAACAAAAGAGAGAGAGAGAGCGGGTTTGCAGCAGCTGCACAGTCCCCGAGGAGAGGGAGGCAGTCATTCATCCTCGAAATGCAGCATTATTGTCTCGTCCCCGCGGGTGGAAACCAACCACCTGAATTGTTCTCCAGGGTCTAACGGAGGGACTAACAGGACCGGGAGGTTTTGATTCTTCTAGCCTTGCCCTGCCGATGCCCCGTGGTCTCTGGGAAGAAACGCTCAGATGTGCACTAAAGGACGGGACCATCTCCGGTGAACTGAACCCGAGCCGTGTGGCCCCAATTTGGGGGACGTAGGTCAGGCACCCTCCCTACCCCCAGGGCTGCCAAGGGCCCATCAGCTCACGCGACACAGATGTGTCAGGCCGGCAGCTGACATGGACTCTCCTGTATCTAGGAAGGGCTGGTGAGATCCTCTTTCCCAGGACTTGCTGGCAGTCTCTGTCCACACCCGGTAGATCTGAGCAGGAACGGAGCAGGGGACACAAGAAGAGGGAGAAACCCTAGTCCCAGCACCCTTGGCTTTCAGCGTCCCTGCCCACCCCCCAGCACCTCGAAACACCTAGCCCCTTCCGCACCTGCCCCCAGCCTCATTACCCAGGCCAGTCCCAGCCCTGTGCCCGGCTCCCCTCGCTGCTGTTGGGAGTGGGCAGTGTTGGCTGTGAGCTGAGGCTTATAACTAGATGCGACCAAGGTACGAATGAGCAAAACGAAGCGCCTGGCACAAACATCCCATGGGGTGCACGCAGCGCTCGGGGACGATGCCCCTGACCCTGCACAACGACAGCAGCGGCTGCAGCTGGTCCCTGGTTCTGCAGGAACAGCAGTGCGCGGCTGGCTCTTGGACCCCAATTAAATCTTAATTAGGGCCGGGCGCAGATTTCTGAGCAAATCCTTTCTACAAGGCATCTTGCCTCTTTTGTCCTCAGGCAGCTTGGGACTCTCTCAGCTGCATCCACCATCCGCCTGAGCCCGCTGCAAAAAGGTTTGCAACCAACGCTCGGGCTGCAGATGGCAGGGGAGAAGCAGCCCTGTGCAGCCTGGATCTGGGCCGAGTTAGCCGGACACGAGTCACATCGCTATTGCTAACTCCAGAGCTTCAAATATGGTACGTCCGCCCCCCCAAATCACGGAGAGACACCAGGCAGATACACGCTCCGCTCCTTGGATGTGTCCTCTGTGCTTTGAGTGGTTAAGGGCAACTGCAGCCCATTTGCCAGCTCTCCTCTGCTAAGCGAAGGGTTAGAAATTTACGGTTTTTAATAAATGAAAGCGGAGACTCTCCTCTTCCCACGTACCTCCACCGCCCAGGGCTGTAAGGAAACCATCTTGCAACAGAGCCACGGCAGCTGGCAGCTCAGCTGGCTCCCGATGGAGGGGTCTAACCCTCCAAAGAAGGTTTTTGGAGCCACCAGCGTCCGCAGTCAGATATTGGAGGTTTGCCTTCAACACCTACTCTGTGCCATTGTGTCTCCACCGCCGGTGAGCCTTTCCGTACCTGATTCACCCTCAGGAAACGCTGGAGGGGCAGAGACCCCCCGATGCATCGAAACAACCCTTGGGATGATTGCAGCGCTCCTCTCGAATGGCTCCCCCTACCCCCCTGCCCAGAAGGGAAGACTCGTCCAGCCAGGCTTCATCGGGTTTGCAGAAGCAAACGTTACTCACGTGCGGAGAAGCAGAAAAGAGCTAGGCTCAGCAGCAGCAAGATGCCCATTGCCTTCATGGTGCAAGTGGCTGATCTCCGGTCCCGGGACGCTGCCTCAGCCCACAGGGAGTGCTGAGGGACCCGCCTCGCCACCTGCTTATATAGACACACCTTCCTGCCTGCTTCCCGAAGGGATCATTGGCTCCGTCGGTGTCTCAGGAATGCTTCGGCTTGAAGAACGCCGCCCTGTCCACATCAAGCTCGGGGGAAATAGTGGGGGGGAGGGGGTTAATTATGTGAGTGGCATGCGATCTGCCGGGTTGCAATCGGCTCCACAATTAGTAATCCCCGTTCTTGCACCTCGTCCTGCAGCTGGGACAAGGGCGACGCAGGGAGCCGTGATTCAGTGGGGCGGCCAGTCATTTTCCTAGCGCGCGGGCCCACACCGATTGCCTGCAGCCAGGTTTTACAACGCGGCGAGCTGGCACTTAATGGACAGGTACGAAGTGAATCACGCCGGGAGAAAGGAGCGGCTGCAAAACCAGTCATTTGCTGTGAGTCTAAATTTGGCGAGAGAGACATCGGGGTGACATTTTTTCACACCTGTTTGGAGAGTCCCAAGCCAGACGGGCTGACACTCCTCTGGGAACTATTTCAGCTATGGCTGTAAAGGATGTTTTTCAGTCCTTCTGACATGCAAAAGTATGTCGTGGCCCCGTTCTTCTTTTGGGTGGCAATGTGAAAGCACAGGATGGGCAATCAGGTCTACCTCCACCTCTTCCACCTACTTCCCATGTGACCTTTGGCCGATACTCTCCTATAGAGACATCATCCATAAAATGGGCATGACGGATCCTTTGAGCTTGGAGGTGCCAAGTATCAGTCCTATTTACTCTGCTCCTTTGAAGTCAGTGGAGCAACTCCTGTGAGGGTTTGCTGATTCACGGCCCTTGCGTGTCAGAAACCACCTCTGCGGGCTGGGGATGAAAGGAAGAGTTGTTTTAGGACTGGTTTGGCCACGGAGACGGGGCGGGGGGCTCTGAGCGCCGTCAGCTACAACAGAAGGGCAAAGACTGAGACTATATGAACCTCCCAGTGAAATCAGAGATGGCCCCAAGTCTAAACCTCTGGGCCCGCAGGACATTGTTTGTGCTGCAGAGCAGTGGTTTTCACCCTTTTTCCATTTGCAGACCCCTAAAAAAATGCGAGGGGCGGTGCGGACCCCTTTGAGTTGTCAGTGTGGGTATTCACATAGTTTTGCCGGATCGTAGTCGTCCTTCACGGACTGCTTTGACGGTCTGCGGACCCACGGACCACCGGGTGAAAACCACTGCTCAAGAACAAATGCCCTTCGCATGGGTGAGGGTGATGTGCCAAGCTGGAAAGGAAGGGCGATGAGGACGTGCAATGAGATGGGATTCGGGCGGCCTGGTCCAGGACAGGAGGGTGTTGGCTGCCATCACACCAGTAGCTTCTCCTAGGACGCCCCAAAACACCCCCCGAGACAGGCCAGCCGGTGAGACACGATGCCGGACAGCAGGAAAGGACTGCAGGAAAAGCCTGCGGCAGATCTCGCGTGTGCAAGCTGGCTGGCTTCAGTGAAACTAAAACATTAATCTGGTTCAGTCGGGTTCGTTGAACGCAATTACCCCTGCAAGGCCAGGCCGCTGCGGCTCAGACATTTGCTGAGACACGTTACAAAGGCAGGGGAAAATGAGCCAAAGCCTAATAAAGTTCTCATCAAAGCGAAACCAGCCCAGGTGGTGTCAGTCCGCAAAGTCTTGCCTTGCGTCTTGCGAAGGTGTCTAGGGAGCAAATGAGAGCAATAAGGCTGTATGCAACAGGGAGCCGTCACCGCGAGAGATGCGGGCTCCAGCAAAACGAGGGTGGGTGTTTGAGCGGTGCCGGTTGCTGCGTGGTCCTGAGCACCCGGGTCCTTGCAGCCTCGCCTGGGCGTAGAGGCAGGGTGACTGAATTGAACCAGGACCCCAGGGAACAATCCTGCACCGGTGGGGGGGGAAGAGCCTACCCCATGGACCAATGTTTCCTGCTTTGCACTGATGTGCACTGGCCTGGAGCATCCCTCGCATTTGTCTGCAATAAGAAGCAAGGCGTAAAAAGGGGTGTTTGGGGCTGACACCCGTTTGGTCTGGGGATATTTTGCTGCAGAGAGTGGCCGGCGGTGTGCGAGTCCGGCGTCCTCTTCTAGGGGGAGGGTGGCACGGCTCTCTCCTGCCTGCGCCGGCCTGTCTGGGGCCATGCGCTGACACCGAAACAGGGGGTCTTCTTCAGCGTGGCATCCGAACAGCTGGCGGGGGGACGCTGGGAGACGTGGACTGTTACCGGCCCCAGGAACACTGTCCTGGCTGGGAAGTAAACAAGGCTGAGGTTATTAACCTAATTAGCAGCCTTGGAAACTGCCCCAGCCTCGCCTGTGCTGGCGAGAGTGGAAGGTGGAGGTGAGCATGTGAGTCAGGCCACACGCGGGACCCAGATCCGCTGGCACACCCAGGAGCTGACTCACACGCACTGTGAGCCACGGCCGGGCATTGCATCTGTGCACGCGGAGCCTTGCTCCGCTCTGCAGTTGCTTTGCACCCTCCTGGGGACGGGGTGTGAACCCGGCCCCTCCAGCATCCCCTGCACCGAGCCACCAGCGCTTCTTGCCCCTTCTTTCCGGAGGACTGAGACCTCCCCCCACTCCGGGCTCCCCTCTTCGGCCCTCCTGTTAGGCGCTGTCAATGTGTGGTCGGAGCTGAAGTCGCAGGACCTGCGGTGCCAGCGCAAAGGGGGAGCCAGGAGATCCCGACACCCATCGTGTCTTCAAGAACAACCGCAGGCCGGGCTCGTGGCAGAGACGTGGCCAGGTTCACTGTGTACCAGCACGGCCCTAATGCATCCAGGCCTGATGAGTACATCAGACCAGGCGTTAACACATCTGTACCTGTGACAAGGTGGTCGGCATGACACCACGCAGGGCACTGCCAAGTTCCTAAACTTTCCCATTCTCCTTTTGTACAGCGGTGAAAACAAATGATGTATTCGTTCCACCCGTATCTTGCATCTCTTCTATCGTCCTGGGCCGTGGGCTCGTGTCACGTCCTGATCGGGGTGTTCCCATTACAGACCGACCAGCCTGGTACAGGACTATCCTGTGCTAGCGCAGCCGTCTCCCCCTCTGCTCTCCTGGCACGACCGCTCCCCTGGCCCGGATGTGAACACGTGATGTGAGGAGGTCAGGCATCGGTCAGGGTTGCCGGTCAAGCCTCCTCTGCCCAGTGCTGGAGTAAAGCCTGGGTGTGAGCAGTGTATGTACTGAGCGACATTCCCGTATATTGTGAAAACAGTGTACATACGGAGCAATGTTCCCATATATTGTGTGATCAGTGCGTATAGGGAGCGATGTTCCCGTATATTGTGAGAGCAGTGTCCATATGGAGCAATGTTCCCGTATATTGTGAGAGCAGTGTACATATGGAGCGATGTTCCTGTATATTGTGTGATCAGTGCATATATGGAGTGATGTTCCCGTATATTGCTTGAGCAGTGTACATGTGGAGCGATGTTCCCGTATATTGTGAGAGCAGTGTACATGTGGAGCGCTGATCCACCTTCTAGCCCAAGCTCCCTGCTCATCGCCCGCCCCGTCCCCCCTGAAACGGCACAGGGCTTGTCTGGCTGCCTGGAGCCCTCTTCCGTCCCTCCTCTCCCTCCTGTCTAGCAAGCCTAGGCAGGGCTAACTGAGCCCCAAACCTGTTGTTAACCCTTTCCGGGGAGCAGTCCCACAGCAGGTGCTAGACTGTCCGTGGGAGGGGGTCAGGCCCAGCTCTCTGCCCCCGGCATGTGACGCTAATGAGCCGTGGGGACGGACTAGGGGAGAAGCTTTGTGGGGAAGGTTAGGAGAGGGGAAAGCAGCAACAGTTTGTAGTCCCTGGATGCCTCCTTGGGTATCAGCAAGCCTGGGCCTGGTTCAGCCACACAGCCCTCTTGTCTACCCCACGGCCCTGGGGGTCCTGGCACCTGCCAGCCCCAGGCCTGGGAATGGGTCTCCGAGGCAGATGCAGGTTGTTCTCGAACCCCCTGGCTCCACCAGGACCCAGCACAACTGGGGTGCGTGCAAACCCGCCGAGCCTCTCGCCTGGTACCCCGCGGCGGCATGCGTGCAAAGTGGAAGGTCAGCTCACGCCTTGAGCCATGACGCAATACTGCGCCCGTTGTCTCGCTGGGCCCCTCTCCTTTGCTCTCGCGCCGGGGAACGCAATAGGCATCATCCTCATGCCTGCCTGCGGCGCTGTCCTTCCGGCCCCGCACCGAGACTCGTTTCCGCCTCCCCTCCATGTACGCGGGAGGCCATAACCCCCTGCCCTGCAAGGACTCGCTGAGGCAGAGGATGCTGCTGAGTTTGCTTTATTGATGAAGCCAAGGCAGAGCTCGAGACCACCGGACGAGCCGCCCGGAGCCCTGGGACCAAGAGAGCAGTGATGGCGCGGGGGCAAGGAGCAAGGTGGCTGTCAGTGCGCTCTGCCCCGGGAGATTTAGCATATCCCGTAATGCTTGAACCGGAGTTTCTCACCACTTCTCCTGCAGAGAGAGAGAGCTTGGAGACGGGGGACTCAGGGCAAGAGTCCGGGGCGGCTTCTCCCCGTGACCCATCGCTTTGGACCCTTTCTTTTGCAGACGCAGTTTAAACCACTACGGGTGTGGGGGAACCCCTGGGGACCCAGAGCCTGCCTGACCTCCCGGGAAGCAGAGAGAGAAACCTCCCGCGCTGTGTGCTGATGGAGGAGTGGAGGGGTCAGAAGGGGTTTGTGCGGGGGAATATGGAGCCAAGCAAACCTGCAGGCTCTCCGCCTGCAACAGCCTGGCTTCCCGCTGCATTGAGCAGCGACCCGGCTACAGCCCTGCCGCTGTCGGTGCAGGGCTTTCGGGCGGAGGAGAAAGGGGCAAGACCCCAGGGCCGTGGCCCTCCCCGGGCAGGCCCCGGGGGTTCAGTGCCGCGGGCGCTGTACGTACTTGACTGCGTTGCAGAACTGGCACCTATTGCCATACGTGAGGCCGTCGGAGCCGCAGTGGGCCAGGTACTCCAGCGTGCAGAAGGGTTTGGGCTCCTTGTAGTCGC